GTGCGTCCATCGAGTTATGGATGCACTTGGGAGGTTGCTTAAGCACTCAAAAAAGCTAGAGTTGCACTCCGCTTCGCGTCGTGCAACTCTTACGCTTTTCTTCGTGCTTAGCAACCTCCCGCGTGCATCCATAACTCGATGGATGCACGCTACTTATGATCCAYTCCTTAAATAGATCATAGCGACCAAAGAACCGCTCGCGTAGGATGCAATGTGACGTATGCAACTAGCATAACGATGAACAACAACATCAGCAAGTAAAAGCAATAATATTTACTCACCCCCTTCAGCGAGAAACAAAAGGTCAGAATAGAATGCCACAAGGGATACAACTAAAAAAATAATATAAATATACATCAGCGTCACGCAACTTAAGGGATGTGTCACGTACTCTTAGTCATGTTGCCTGATGTCCAACGAGTCATATATGTAATCTCGTAGTCCAAGTCACTATTACCAAGTCAAGTGCTCTTAGTCAAGTACTTCTAGTCACGTATTCAAGCGTCATGTAATAGCTCGTCACGTAACAAGTCACGTATTCTCAGTGTTGTCACGTCACATACCTTAGGAAGTGACGTGCAGTTGCACTCTTGTAACGCTTCAAGAAGATTCAGGAAATTATCTCCTACTAAGTCACTCATCTGAAAATCAAGTATATAATTTGGTTGATTGATTGATTACGATGGCCCTAATATAGAACTTGTGGCAAACCAAACTCTTTGAAAGTATAAAAAGATTCTAGCACTAACAAAAGAGTAGTTGCGCTGCTGTGGAAGGGTTTAGCTAAGAGTTATCATAAAGGCCCCAGAATAGATCTCTGTGGAATACGTATTAAAGTTATGTTAGATTTGTAAGTAAAAAAAARTATTCCAGCACTAGCAATACAGTAGCTGCCCTGCTTAAGGCTCGATTACACGGAGCAATTTTCTCTGCAACTTGTCTCGCAACAGCGTTCCGACACAAGTTGGAAGAGTGTCTACAAGGTGCAACGGGGACGCGATCGTTGCCAAAAGTATAAACGAATTCTACTTTTCGCAACGATTGCAGCAACTTGTCTCGCAACATTTTTTTAAATTGCGCTGTACGTTTACACGCTGCAATGCTCCGTGCAAATTGTGTCGCAACACCGTTGTGACACTAGTTGCAGAGAAAATTGCTCCGTGTAATCGCGCCTTTAGGCGGATTTAGCTAACAGGTATCACAAAGGCCCTGAAAAAGCTCTCTGTGGAACACAAAAGTCAGATGTGAGATTTGAAGTATAAACAGATTCCAGCATTAGAAAAACACTAGTTGTCCTGCTGAGGGAGAGTTTAACAGCGAGTTATCATAAAGGCCCCAATACAGAACACTGTGGTATACCAAAGTCAAGGGTTAGATTTCAGCACCCTGCTGAGCACTTGTAGTTACCCTGTCTTTATGTATCCATGTCGTACCTCTTTGGCTTTGGTTAGCAGGTTCAGTATCCCAGGAGTAACTATTCCCCAGAACTCGAGCACGATAGGCGAAGACTGCTCGTTGTATTCACCTTGAAGTTTAGTGATGTCACAGTACAGGGTCCATAGCTGGAAAGAATGTAAAGGCAAATGTCCAATGCTAGATTATCTACACACAAAAAACAACAACACAGCTATTGATTTGAATTACCTCGCACAAGTGAAACGCATGATACAAGGCCGTGATTTTCAGAGAGTCCTGAAAACAAAGAGATTGTTAGTTATCTAGTTTTCTTTGCCATAATACATTTCCATAATACTCCCATTTCGAGTTCGCCTTTGCTCAGTCTTGGCCTCGATTGTGTACAAATGCGTACTTTTCTTCTATATTAAGGTGCATTGTATAGTAAAGAATGTACGTACTACGGAACTGAAGCCTGAGCAAAGAGGACTCGAAACTGGAGCATTAACTTACCCAGACAAATACATATAATAATTCGAGAAGTCTGGGTGTTTGGCTGTCGTCTATCACAAATAATTTCAAGTTCAAACCGTCGAAATTTGATCGACGGAAGCAAAGAACCAAGCAAACCTGTGTGGGCTTGGCTTTGTCGATCGCGAAATGATATAATCATGTTATAGTAAAAAGATAAATTTTAAGTTCCCACCGAGATTTGAACTCGGATCGCTGGATTCAAAGTCCAAAGTGCTAACCATTACACCATGGGACCATTTCTTGAAATATATTCCAGGAAATTTCACGTTAATTTAAGAAAGTTGCCAGTTTAAGATTAAAATTAAAAAGAAAAAGATCCCACCGAGATTTGAACTCGGATCGCTGGATTCAAAGTCCAAAGTGCTAACCATTACACCATGGGACCATTTCTTCACATAATTTCCAGGAAAT